TAATTTCAGAAATAGTCTCATAACTACAGTTAAATGAGAACTGAGTTTCAGTGATCTTTTTCTCACAGAAGATATAACTCACAGAGATTAACTATAATATTTATAATTAAAAGCTTCTCATGATAGTGAAATTCTTCTATCACTGATATTACTACTTCAAGAACCTCATAACAGTGATTACTGTTAAAACTGATTATAACAGCTTATAACAGTTTACTTTAATCAAGAAACTCTTGCAGTAGCAGATTCACTGAGCTCAGAGACTGAGTGAGTTCTGATTCAAGATAGAATATATTAAGAGAACTAAGAACTCAGCAGATAAACTCTCTTACAGATCAGACTATATTAAGAAGATCAGAATAATAGATATAGAGAGACTAGAGAAGATAGAAAAGCTTCACAGAATACTCAGACTAAGTATTACAAAGAGATTGACTGAAGAGTCTCTTAATTCTCTGTGAGAGAAGAGAGAGAAGAGAGAAAAGAAGTCTGTACAACTACTCTCTATAACACTGAGAGTCAACACTCTGAAAATCTTTATAAGAATTCTTGAAGAAAGTATCTATAATCTGAAGAGTTTACAGACTTTGAGAAGCACTGCAGAAGATCTAATATAAGAAGAAACAGAGTATAAGTCTTTATAAGATCTTCTATTCAGATTGTCTGAACTGTAACTGAAGAATGAATATACTCAGTATATTCAGAAACTGCTTATAATAGAGATTAATTCTGTAGAAATAAAGAATTGAAGAGACTTAAATAATCTCTTATAAAGAGAGAGCTGAATTTATGTATTTATGAATAAGTTTCTATATATAGAACTTATTAAAAGATATCATGACTCTTCTCTAGCAGATCATTTTATAGATACTAGAACTCATAAGTTACTTATAAGAAAATACTTCTAACTGAAGATGTAAGAACTTGTGAAGAAGATAGTGAATTCTTATACTATTTATCAGAGTTCATAGATAGTATGATTCAGACTATATAAAGAACTTACTCCTCTATTCATCTCACAGAAATCTTGAAAACAGCTAGAAATAAATACTCTTATAAGTCTCTCTGAAAGTAAGAATATATATAATACCTGCTTTGACAGTGTGCTGATGATAGTGAATCACTTTATTAAGATAATACACTTTATACTCATCTGTAAGAACTTGAAGTTAAAGAATTTAACTTATATCTTCATCTGTAATATAATCTGATTATATAAATTATCTATAAATATTATCTCAGATAGAGAATTAATCTTTATAGAAGAGTTCTGATCTGATCTGATAACTATACTGAAGATCTTATAAGATTTAAGCATGACTTTTTATCAATAGACAGATAATCAGATAGAATATTTAATAAGTATATTAAAACAGTATCTGCAGTGCTTTATCAATTATAATCAGAATAACTGAGTATATTAATTATTACTTATAAAGTTTGTATATAATAACTTAAAACATATCAGTATAGATAAAATTCTCTTTAAGATACTTATTAAAACTCATCTGTGAATAATCTTAATAAATCTGTGAGAGTATACTATAGAGTATAATAATGTCTGTGAACAGACTGAGAGAATTCAGAAGATCTGAGAGAAAGTCTGTGAATTCTTGAGAAAGACTCAAGAGTATCAGAAGAGATACTATAACTTTAAGCATATTATAAAGAGTTTTAAGAAAGATAATAGAGTCTGACTAAGTTTAGAAAATATTATTATATAGAGATCTAGTAAGAAGCTGAATCTCTTATAGACAGAGTTTTATAAGATTATAAAGAAAATTAGCTCACAGTTCTATAGATTAAAACTATTATCTGAGTTATAGATATATAATATTTTTCATGTCTCTTTACTTTATAAATATAAGAAATTTTTAAAAGAGAATTCTGTGACTCATCACTCTGTCTGTAAAACACTAGAGAGTGAAAGAGAATATCAGATTAAAAAGATTATTAATTCAGAGAAGTAAAATTATAAGCTCTGATTCAAGATTCAGTGATAAGAGTATTCTGATAAGATAAATAAGTTCACTTGAGAATTATTTAGATAGATAAGATATCTATAGAAGCTGAGACATGACTTTCATACTGTGAATTTTAATAAGTTAGAATAATACAGTCTTCACTAAGAATCTGATTATAATAAAGATATTAACACTGTTATTTATAAATTCTAGTCTATAAGATAATGAGTTTCTACTGAGATAAACAGTCTGCAGTGTATATAAGAAAAGAAGAAATCATATTCTTATTAAAGTTAAAAAACAGAAAATAAATAGAGTTATAAACATAATTTAAAGATTAATAAAGAAAAAATAAAGAAAACTTATATCTGTATTCTCAATATCTATAACACTTAATTACTTCATAACTACTAATTTTCTTCTTTAAAAAAGCAGAGAGTATCATGCTCACAGTACAGATAATTATTATATTTAATATGAAGATTATTAGAAATACACAGACTTCAGAGAAGCTGAATATCAGAATATATACAGTTATAGCAGAATCTTGAAAACTGACTATCTGTATATATAATCAGATACTTCTTATAAAGCTGTATTCACTCTTTCAGTTATACTGAAGTATTCAGTCTGAAAATAATTAAAATATGAAGAGAGAGCTTATCTATTCAGATTAACTTCTATTATAAATTTATAATATTCATATTATCTTAATTATCTGAATTTTACAGATACTTAGAGACTCATCTCTCATTAATAATAAGATTATAGAAATGCACTGTAGTGTGAGAATCATTAATAGAGAATCTAGACATATTTATATATATCTAATTAGAGATTGTATAAGTAGAGAAGAGATAATTATAGATCTACAGAGCTGTAGAAGACACTGATAACACTGAGAGCTTTATAAGAACTATTAACTAGAATCTGTAAGAAATTACTTATAAGAAGATTTACAGTAAAGAGAGAAACTATACTACTTAAAGTCAGAGACTAATCTGAGAAAGAGATAAGATGAGTTACTAGTCTGAAGATTAAGTACAGTGATAAGACTGAGAAAGATAAAGATATAATTATAAGCAGTAATATCTCTGCTTCATCAGCTAGTAAAAAGTAATCAGAGAAGTTATAAAAATGCTTATAAGAAGCTCAGCAGTAATCAGACATTATTTATAAAGATATTGAAATTAAAAATTTTTATTCTTAAGAAGTTCTTGAATTAATATATAGATATTATTAGAAACACTCTCTCTCTATTATCTAAGTAGAAACACTTCATAGATGAATAAGAATACTCACAGTTTATAAGAATAAGAGCTGTTATAAAAAAAGAGAAAAGAAGATAAGATTTCATAGACAGATCTGAGATATTTATACTACTTTAAAGAGATTTACTTACACTGTAAGTAATTCTATAAAATAGTCAGATTACTCTAATAAATAAGAGTAATTATAAATCACAGATCTGAATCTTTCTATATAACTATAAAGAGTAATTACAGACTATAGACATCTTAATTCTATAATTTTACAGAGTTAATGAAAGAATGAAAAATTTCTCATAATTCTATAATATTAAAGAATAATAATTTATAAGAATAAATAAAAGATTAACTTATAAATATTTCTCTTTAATAAGAGTGATTTCATAGAGAGTGATTCATCTATGAGATGAATCTGTATAATAATTATATAAGAATTTTATAAAAATAATTGAGAGTTAACTGAAATTCTTCTATATAAAAGATATGAGATAAATCTATATAATAGTCAGAGAAGAATCTATAAATTATAAAGAATCTTATAGAATAAGAAACTGAGTGATAGACTCTTTTCTCTTTATAGTAATAAGAAATTTTTTCTCACTGAGATTTTTTATAGATATGAAGAATTTTTAGTAAGTATCACTGCAGTGCTGAGCTGATTCTATAAAATCACTCAGTAAAAGACTTCACAGATGAAGTCTTAGAGAGAAAGAGATATATAAGAAATCTCACTTCTTACAGATTCTTTATCTCTATTTCTATCTCTTATATAATCAATAGAGCTAGCAGCTCTTGACTACACATAATTATATAGACTGGAGTTCATAAATACTATTTATAACTCAGCTTGAATACTATTATATATTTAATCTCTACATTTTATCTTTCTATCATGAATACTTCTAGTAGTTAACAGTACATATCATGCCAAGCTGCAAACACCCGAATAATCGCCTGCGAGCACTTATTCTTACAATTATTCACCACTCTCAACCACTTTTGTATGATCTCTGGGTTTTTATATCAGGCTCACTGATGGTCATAGCTGCATGTAAGCTTGATAGCAAGCTTAGGATGATGTTGAATAAATCTCTGTACTCAGCATTCTCCAATGATAGGTGGGATAGTAGATCCGCGGGCCTTGAGTAGTTGAATGGTCATATCTCATGTGTGTGATCCGGGGGGGGAGACCTCGCTCATCCATGAATATTATCCATTGAACTAGGGCTTCTTCTTCAGTAGAAGTAAGCTTTCGGCATGCTGAGACTGATATTTCATATGATATGCATCTGTGGATTCAACTGTGGAGTGTAGTGTATGACACACCATATGCCCGAGCAGCAGTCTTAATACATGAAATCTGCTTAGATTCATAGACAGAAATAGCTAATAAAAGCATTCTTTCCTTGCTGGAAGCCTGAGACTTTGAGGCTGAAGGCATATATAATGAATATGTTGATGAAGGTGGTTAGGTGGAGGAGTCGATCCGTTGAGTGATTCGATCCGTTGACCGATTGATTACGTTAGTTGAGTTTCTACAAAACTAGATATCATCTAAGCGGAAGCATGCTGGGCAATACTCATGCCCACATACGCATCCGTTGACCGTTGAGCCAGTTCCTCCGCAGTAGCAGCACTTGATTTTAAAGAGTGAGAGTTGTCAATTAGTTTTTAGGTGCGCAAGACATAAAAGAGTTTGTGAAAAGAGAGATGTGGACGGCGAAAGATTGGTAGAAAGTAAGCTACCATTTATATACAACACCCCACGGCCGGGTAAGGTTAAAACAATATCCTAGTTTTCCACCCAGCCAAAGACTATACTTAAAATACAATTTTCAGGGATGCAAAATGGGGTTGATCATTTCCGCTCATTCTCCAAGACATCAGCTGTGCCCAATCCCTCATCCCAGGCTAGCCTGTATTTGCTTGCGAGTTCTTTCAGATCCTCATCCATCTTTTCGACTGCGCCCCTAGCACCCTTTGCTTTGATGAACATTTCCCAATCAGATATCCCTACCCTGATTCCATCTTTGGTTTTCGCGGCAAATAGTACGCGAGTAGATTTCAAGTCATACATCAAACTGTAATAACATTCGACTCCTTTAATGTCATCAATTGCGAACTGGTAGAGCCCGGTTTGCCTGTCGTATCTACCTATTAGCAACAATTAAAAACAAGGTGGGGAAACATACCGTCCAGGAGACATTGGTGTGCGGATGTTTGAAGCGTCTTTCGCATCCTCATTGCTGGGCACATCTGGTGCCAACCAGCTCAAAAAGCTGAGTACCTGCTGCGCCATGGTCAATAGTCTCTCGAAAGCTACCAAACGACCTTTTAACACAGTCAGCAACTCGACATGGTAGAGGAATGAGATATCAACCAACTTTATGCTGTACAATAAAAGCAAAAGCCAGTCCCTTCGTATGCAGCAGCAGGAGCTAATTTCCACCTTCTTGATCAACCGAGCGGGCTGCAAAGACCTTGGCCAGCCTGGACTGAAATAAGGCAACGAGCGAGCGGTGAAGCATCTCTTATAGTCAAAAGCAGTGAGGCTCGGACTCAAGCTAGGCATGTATATCGCACTCGCTCTCCCAGGTGATCGACGCAAGTTTCCCTGTGCCCTCGACACATCCTGGCATCCCTGCCTACTGCAACACCAGCGGCAATCGACCACTGTCCTCATTGGGCAAAGGAAAATCCAAAAAGACTCATTTTCGGGCTCAATATAAAGATAATATTGTTATGGTATTAAATGGAAAAGGCTAAAACTATTCAACATTCAAGCAATTAGAAGCAAGTAAATTTAGAAGAGTATGGGGCCTTGCTACACTGACTAGTATTCACAGGTAGCCACATTCCAATGCAATTAGAAATAGGAAATATTGGAAGTGTTGTCTGGGAAGCCATGTAACGGCATAGTGTTCCCTAGTTCCCCAGGCTGAGTGGAAATATTTCAAGCCATGTAGACATCAATAGTGGTAATCAGCATCACCTGTAGCCATATCAGCACAAGTTGAAGAGAGAATCATAGTTTCACTGAACTTACTTGGATTGAAAGGGGCCAGTCATGGAAGAGTCTGCCTGCAGCAAACCCTGCTGTTACAAGAACAAGAAGTGCATGGATTGTAGCTTCACAGATTACAGGCCCCTGAGATGATATACCGCGAATTCCATGCCAAAAAAGCAGACCGGCAATCACAAGTACTGTGTAGTCAATAGACATGATCACACCTGTATCTTTCACCGACATCTTGTAGATGACTGAGCTAACTCAATGAGCACAAGGCCTATCAAGAGTAGGGAGAAGAGCACATCATAAGATCAACCCGAGCTTTACCGCCGGGGACAGAAAACCATATCCTAGAAATAATCAATGCAGCAGGGCGTTTGTAAGTGGTCCAGCCTGAATTTTGGTTTGCTGGATCATCTAGACATCACGCGGTTAGTGAGGATGAAATTAAGAAGCTGGGAATAATGTATCTCTAGAGCTAAAGGGAATGCTGTACATAATCTCAAGAAATAGTAGAATGCTGGTGTATCTGAAACAAGCATTTAGCATTTATCATCACCATCTCAGTAGAAGGGGCTTCTCACCCGCACATCTTAAGCCTGATAGATCAATGCCAATGATGACAGCATTGACGCAGATAAAGAGAACAAAGATTGATATCTCAGATAAACAGTGAGACTGGAGGCAGTGAACAGTAAGCAAGATAAGATGCACTGTACTTGTAGGATAGTTGAAGGTTGTATTGATAGATCTATCTACAAGAACATAATATAGTGGTGGGTCACGTGATCTAGTGGGATCGCTAACCGCAACGGCCGTAACGGCCAACACCACCCCCCCTCGAGATAACAAGAATCACATACAAAAACACCCAAACCACCAAGATAGTCTGTCAAAACCAAATACAAATGTAAAATTAAACATTCCCAACTTTTACGCCTGTAAGACCTAGCAAAATCATGAATCGCGCAAATGCCACAGTGTCTAGAGGTTTAGTGAGTCCATCCGCCGCCATCTGAGCGGTGGAAACGTATTCTAAAGTGCATACCAAGGAATCTTATGTGGACTTGGAACCACAGGAGTCTCTACAGTAGAGGGCCAAAATTTCGAGTTGTAAAGAACTGTAGATGTGAGAGTATTATTGATTATTGCAATCACTGTCTCTAGAACATCTGCTCAGAACCTCTTAGAGAGATTACCTTTCAAAAGAGCAGCTCTAACTCATTCCATGATAGTGCAGATCTCACATTCAGAAACATCATTCTGATATGACAAATGTGATGCTGTTGATTCTCATTTGATATCATATGAATTCATAACTGTGTGCATATGTGTGAATCAGAAAACATCATCAATATTAGTCTGTAAAAAAGCAGAAGCTGTATATCTGAGATTATATGAAAGGTGTAAAGCTTGTGTGATTGAAAGATTGCTAGCTTGTGAAAAGTTATATGATGAAAGGATTAGTAAGCCAGATCACGTGACCTGACAGATTATTCATGAATCTGAGCCACAACTCAAAGTATTGAACAGTCTTATTCTTAAACTTTAAAAAATATATTCAATGATAGTGAGTCACATCACAGATAATAAGTATTCAGTATTTAGTTCTCTAACAGAACTCTAAGAGATAATCAGAGAGATCTTTTAATGTATATTTACTATCTATAAGATTAATATGAATCTTCTCAATGAGTTGAATAGATCTAGACATTGATATTTTTAAATAATCTTATATTATATCTGTCTTGACACATTTCTTGCAAAAGAACTTAGTCTTAGAATCTTTAATTATGACTTTAATATGAAGATTCTTGATTATAGTAATTATAATATCAGTATGAATATAACTGAGATCACAGTATCAGTTTAAAAGAGTCTTTGATATTCTTATATTCTTAAGATCTGTATTTAGAACTGTAGAATCAATGTTATTAATAATAGTAGTAGTAGTCACAGAAAGATTAACTTTTCAGTCAAAATTATACTTATATAGTATTATAATATACTTAACTGTCTTATTCAGATAATTGAAATTCTCATTAAACTTCTGTTTATTAATCTTATATATATTATTCTGAGCAGTTTAAACTGTATGAAAAATAATATTATTCAGAGCTCTGTAAATGAAAAATAAAAGAATAGTAAAAGATAATATAAATTGAAATCTCTGATCTTCAAGCTTTATAAATAAGAGTAGATTAACTGTTATTATTATTATTCTTCAATTATAGATGTATACAGTCAGAGACTATGATATTTATCTGAGAACTTTTAGTTCTCAGAGTTTTTCCTATGTCTGTAAAGTTAACTATTATACATTCATCAATTTCAGATATGCAAAATCAGAAAATTTCAGCTCAGAATACAAAAACTATTTATAAATTACAGTATTTTAACATCTTTTGATACTTTGAAATCATTTGACAATATCATGACAAAGAAAAAGAGAAAAAGAACACAGTCTTAAAGATAGACATATTAAATAGCTACAGAACAAGATCTCTGCAGTTTATATCTTAAGCTATATACATATTTTAACACTCTATATAACCGACCGCTGCCTCTGTTCTCTCAGGCCCGCTTCAGAGATTATCATTTTCTCTAAAGAGTTATCACTCAGCTAGCTTCTGTAACTAGCTTACTCATAAGTGAGATTCTCACTAAGAATAACATCAGAGCTACTCAATTCTAGTTAAGTCTCTAATCTTTCAGCTGTCAATCTCAGCATTTCAACCTATCAATTGACTGTCACAGTCTTGCTTGCACTAATCACCTATTAAGAATGCCTAGATCTCATCTCATCTAGATTCTTACTAGACTCAGAGTGTTCTAATCAGATAGTTTTTAAATCTTCTTCTCTAAAAGTGAGTATCTAGAGTGAGAGAGATGAGATCTGATCAGTTAAGCTTGATAATAATTCACTATTCTGCAGATACTCTAGATCTCAATCACTCTAGTACTGATCTAACTTGAAGTATCTGAGAGACTGTTAATTCTAAGATCAGTGAGAATTAGTGCTCAGAAACCTCTGAGATAGATATCTTAAGCTTGACAATGATTCACTATAGTGTACTCAGAGACTCTCAGTACTGTTTTATAACTTAACAGTGAAAGCTGTGATTATGTAAGAATAAGTGCTCGCAGGCGATTATTCAGGTGTTTGCAGCTTGGCATGATATGTACTGTTAACTACTAGAAGTATTCACAGTAGAAAGATAAATGTAGGGGTTAAATGTATAATAGCATTCAAGCTGAGTTGTGAATAGTATTCGCGAACTCCAGTCTATATAGTTGTGTGTAGCCAAGAGCTGCTAGCTCTATTGATTACATGAGAGATAGAAATAGAGATAAAGAATCTGTGAGAAGTGAGATTTCTTACATATTTCTCTCTCTCTAAGGCTTCATTCATGAAGTCTTTCACTGAGTGACTTCATAGTCAGCTCAGCACTGCAGTGATACTCACTAAAAACTCTTCATATCTATAAAAAATCTCAGTGAGGAAAAATCCCTTGTTATTACAAAGAGAAAAGAGTCTGTCACTCAGTTTCTTATTCTGTGAGATTCTTTGTAATCTATAGATTCTTGTCTGACTATTATACAGATTCATCTCACATCTTTCATACAGAAGAGTTTCAGTTGACTCTCAACTATTTTCATAAGAATCTTGTGTGATCATTACACAGATTCATCTCACAGATGAATCACTCTCTGTGAGATTATTCTTATCAAAGAGAAATATTTACAAGTTGATCTTTCATTCATTCTTATAAATCATTGCTCTTTGACACTGTAGAATTATGAGGAATTTTTCATTCTTTCATTAACTCTGTAGAATTGTAGAATCAAGATATCTGCAGTCTGCAATCACTCTTTGTAGTCATATAGAAAGATTCAGACCTGCAATTCATAATCACTCTTGTTTACTAGAGTGATCTGACTGTTTCATGAAATCACTCACAGTGTAAGCAAACCTCTCTAGAGTAGTATAAATATCTCAGATCTGTCTGTGAAATCTCATCTTCTTTTTTCTTTTTCTATAACAGCTCTTATTCTTATAAACTGTAAGTATCTTTATTCATTCATGAAGTGTTTTCACTCAGATGACAGAGAGAGAGTGTTTCTGATAATATTCATATATTGATTCAAGAACTTCTCAAGAATAAAAAATTTTTCAATTTTAACATCTTTATAAATAATATCTGACTGCTGCTGAGCTTCTCATGAGTGTCTCTGTAACTTCTCTAATCACTTTTTATCAGCTGATGAAGCAGGGACACTGCTGCTTATGACTGCATCTTCACTTTTCTCAGCTTCATCACTGCATCTGATCTTCAGGCCAGCAGCTCATCTCATCTCTTTCTCAGATCAGTTTCTGACTTCAAGCAGTGCAGTCTTCTTCTTTGCTGTAAGTCTTCTCATAAGTAATTTCTTACAGACTCTAGCTGACAGTTCTTGTAAAGCTTCTGATGTTGTCAGTGTCTTCTGCAGTCTCACAGACCTACAATCACTCTCTTTCTGCTCACACAATCTCTGACCAGGCATATACAAATATGTCTAGGTTTCCTATCAATGGTCCTTATTATTATTATTATTATTCTTCAATTATAGATGTATGCAGTCAGAGACTATGACATCTACCTGAGAACTTTAGTTCTCAGGGTTTTTTCTATGTCTGTAAAGTTAACTATTGTACATTCATCAATTTCAGATATGCAAAATCAGAAAATTCCAGCCCAGAATACAAAAACTGTTTACAAATTGCAGTGTTTTAACCTCTTTTGATACTTTGTAACCATTTGACAATATCATGACAAAAGAAAAGAGAGAAAGAACACAGTCTCAAAGATAGACACATTAAATAGATAGATAGAAAGAAATTGAAAGAAAAAGATACAGAAAAAGAAAAAGTAAAGAGAGACTATAACAAAACAAATTCTTAAAAGAGAGTGTATAGCTGTTTTAACAGACTATATCTGATTGATTTCCTCCTCTTCATATTCAGATAATTCTGAATTTAGCCATTTTCTTGTAGCTGCTTGAGTTTCTGATAGAAAGTCTATTAAGTATTTAATTCCTGTCTCAGTTGAGAATAAGAATCTCATATTTAATTGATTTAGATCATACTTCTCTTTCAATCTGGCTCTGAGACTATTGTATAATGCACAGTGCATTATAATATGCTCAGGATTCTCATTTGTATTGCAGAATGAGCATTCTATTGAGTCAAATCTATCATC